AAACTGGCTCCGGCTCAAGGGTTTAGCCGGGGGCTTTTCGAGTGGGCCTGTTTATCTATGCCCACACAGTTGGGAGTGCTCTCGACCCCCGGATCACGGAATCCTGATTCCAACGTCAGGAGCTCGATTCCACGACCCCTTTCACCTCGACTCATATTGGAGCTACCGCAAATGCTAGTCATTACATGCTACGATTGTGAGCTGGCCAAGATTCTATGTGGCAACAACAAACAGACAGGGCCCAGACTGACAGGATGAAGGGCTTTCCAGGGAAGAGGTAGTGGGCAGGAAAATTGAGCTTAAGTTGCAATTAAGCAATTGCCCGGACGGTTGGGCTGATGTGAAATCCAGCTGCCGAAGCTGCTGCTGCTGCCTCTCCCTTTTGGCCGGACTAATAGCAGCGAGCAGCTCAAGTGGCTGCTAACTTGGCCAACCCCCAGTCGCAAATAATGCAAAATTGCAATGAAATGTGGCCAGCTGCAGCTGCACGAGGTGAACATTGCCATGGGAGAGCTCCTAGTTCTTTTCTATTTATGTGCAGTTGCTTTCCAATCACCAGCCAGCAAACTTAATACAATATTTAAGCCGCAAACGTAGCACAATGTAAACCAAAGTAATCTCGACCTCAGCTCCGGCTTGGCCTGGCTTTCTGTGGCAAGTGGCACGACTTGCGGGCAACTGCAGAAACCGAGGAAGTGCTGCGAAGAGAATCAAAACCGAGTGGAGGAGGGCACAAAAAAAAAAAAAAAACAAAAAAAAAGAATGAAAAAGAGAGTGGAAAAACAATTTCAGCATTGAGGCAACTTCGCGTTTTTTAAGTGGAAAACTTTGGTCCTTATATTTGGCCATGGGGTTTTCTGGCTGCAATGAAGCTGAAAGTGTGCCTCAAATGCAGTTCAAATGTGTCCGGAATACTCGCATTTGCCAGAGACTTGTTCTGAGTGATCTACAGGCGGAAAAATGTAATAAACCAGGGTTTGTTCGTGGGATATGTTTATTTATAACAAAGATATGCATTTGATTGCGTCAAATATTTCTCCTGGAAGCTCTTTTCGCAGTCGAAGAAATTGTTCTTAGTATTTAATTAGCCTTGCCTCAAAATCAATGGCATTTGCAATGGCATCAGAAATCAATTCGATTGAGTTTAAGCTTTAATGCGCTGTCTGCAGTGCCATAAAGTTGAGAGGATTGTCGGCTGTTGTCCAATGAATTTCAAATTACCAATAAACAATTGAATGAGCAGCGAATATATACATATATATATACGCTCACATACACACGCACGGACAGACACGCATACAAATGCTAATCAACGCTGCTTTATGCTTTATGCTTTCTGCTATATTTGCGTTGCTCATACGCAGTGTGGGCCTCATCGCTAATCCCGGCACGCAGCATCAATAAGTCAAACACGTCAATGGCAAGCAGTGCGAATCAGAGGAGGATGCGAAACAACAATAAAGCAACAACAAATACAACAACATCTATAAAGCAACAACCACTAGCATTGAGGAGACAAAAGGCAACAATTTATTGTTGCTCAATGTCGCATTTATCATCACTTTATGCTACTTAATCGAGCCCTCGTCCCGCAATGGAGCTGCTCCCGCTCCTTTGAGCTCGATTTCCGCCGTCGAAGATGATTTCAATGTTTACTCTCGTCTCGTCCTGGGCTTTGTTTGCTTATTGTTTTTCGACACACATCCGCGCACACAGAGCACTTTGCAGCGTCTTTTTATGGTTTATGGCGCCATTGAATTTTTCGTTTGTTTTCTTATTAAATTATAATTTATATGTGTAGTCGCATCAGCCAAGGACAGCGACAGCCACACAGCACAGGCACTTTGTCAATTGTTTAATAGAAAACAAAGGAGATACGACTCGCAGGACTCGCTCCCGAGAACGAAATACCAAGGAGGGCAGGACATTTTGTTTGTTATTTATACATGCGCACGGCGTACTCAATTACGACTTCGAATGGCAAACAAGTTTCGGGTGTGCTTGTTTGCAGGTCAGAACGTGATGAAAACTGCGATAGTAATATATTAAAGATGGCAGATATCGCATGGCTCCTGAATCACTTACGATGGCTAAGAGATATCTCTACAAAAGGCCAATGGTCTAGGTCAAATTCATATCCACCTTTAATGCACCGAGAAAAATATAGCACTAGATTCATTTTAAACCCAAAAAGAGGGTTGCAAAGTAAAGCTCTTTGATTTTATTGATTTATTATTGGTAAAGACATTCACCTGTCTTTCAAACTTAAATACAATCTTTGTTTAAAAATGTATTAGAGAAAGTAGCCATATTTTATAGATCTATTTAAGTTATTACATTATTATAATTGCATTTTCTTTTATATAATTTAAATAACAATATGCCACTTTTATTACATTTCCCCCTATTGCGGTTTTGGCCGGCTTTTTAATGCTTTTTGTTTGTAGTTGAAAAAAGTGATCATCTCCCATCATGGCTACCTGCACACACCGTTGCAAACGTTATTATCTAAAAAGCATTCATGGCTAATCCACTTGAATAGAGCAATTGCAATAAGGATAAAGCTCTACCCAGCATGCTGGTATCGGAAAAATGCGCCAAACTATGGTAATTCAACTTCACTAAATGCATGTGGATATCGTTTATAACTAGTGCACATGAAACGGCTGCAAATGGCAAAAATAAATGCACTGATGTCCAAACTGCAAAACTATTCGCATAATTAATTGCATGGCATAGTTGATTATAGATTTTATTTTGGTTTTGCATTTAACACAGAGCTCTGCAGGGGGAAAAAAGCACAGCACATTGCATTCGAATTCATTAAATTTGCATACAACTTTTAAGCATATTTGAAACATTTTATGCGTATGATTCATTGGTTTGATAGCCAAAATTTTAATAGCAAATTAAATTGCCGTTGGGCTTTAACTAATTTGCACTCTGACGATATCGGCGAACACTCAGTTGGTGGATTTTCCGTTTCGCGGCTCCGACACACATAATAACAGGGAAAAAGCTGTGCATTGAACAGCAATATGCAGAGAGGGAATCGACTGTGGGAAATCCAGTATTGACTTTATAATTTATAGCTCTGAGAATTACCAGAAAATGTGTCTATCGTTAAATTAAAGCCTATTCGTTCTCTTCTTTAGATTTTAAGTTAAGTTAAACCCTTGTTCTGCCTGCAACTTTAATAGAAATAGAGGCCTGGCATGCCCTGCTACCTTATTTAATGAGGCGCTTATAAAAAACAAATATCCAAATGGTAAATATTTGGCAAATCAATTTAAATTCGCGTTGGAAATTGTTTGGTTTTTTGTTGTTTATAAATATTTTAATTAACTGCCAAATGTAATAATTGCCAAATGTGTTTGCCCAAATACATTTGGGCAACGACAGCTGCTGCCGGCGCTTGGAAGTGCTGGGATTTTTATTTTAATTAAATCCGCGTCCGTGGCGGCGGTTAACCCACAAAAAGGTAAGCCCCAAGCTGGCGCTGACATTAATCATTTCACCTTTCAAATGCATTCTTGTTAGGCGGCCGCCAAATTGAAACTTCACTTGATGCAAAAGGGAATCAGATCTTCGCGTTTCCTCGGGACTTTGGCTCATTAATAACCGACAAGACGGCATAATTCTTTGTCTTCGCCCTCGTGCAAATCCTTTTCTTTGCCGTCGCCTTCGGGTTTCCATGGATAATAAGAATGGCAAACAATGACAGGCCGCAACGGCTGGACTGTATTAGTACAGATGTACGCGAGATGTGCTAAGCCGAGTTAAATATTGACCAACTAACGACTGACTTACATTAGGGCTCGCCCGAACTTTTCCAATTAAATCTGAGGAAAGTTCGTTCACTCCATGTGCCAGCGAATAGGAAACAAGGAAAGTTCTAATGAGTTTATTAATCAGCGATAAATTTGGCCAGCATATGCAACGCAGTTTGGCCAGCAAAGTTCGAATTGAAGACGCCCCGCTAAGTTGTCATAATTCGTAATCAGAGAAGTCTGCAAAAGAAATCTAGTTGTATAGAAAAAAGGGAAGGAAAAATAGTAATCACTAACAAAAAACACGATCTTGAGTCCGTCCGTTAAATATAGTATAAAAAATACTAAGGTTTAATAAAACTTAAAGGTAAGCAAACCAATGTTTAGACGAAATTTGTATATCTGGGAACTTACACTACCAATTATTACATTTAGTAGGTGTGGATAATTTATGTTTATCCCATTATCGTATACTAAATTATATAAAAACCTAAGAATAAAAAAGGGACATCATGATAACTACATTTGATACTTATTTTCAGCGTGCCTGGGGAAGGGGACTAAATAAACATCTGCCTTAAGGCCAAGGACGATGGCAGCGTCTGTAAGTCATCGCGTGGAAAAAGGGCTGGGATTCTCGGCTAATTAATGTGCAAAGTGTCAATTAATCAATCAGTCGGCCGATCAATCCTGCCGGGGAGCTCAGACGGGCCAAACGAAATCCGAATGCCAGCCAATACCAGTTAGAGTCGGCCAGTCCCGGCACATTCCCTCTTTAGGCCATGGCCATGCCGTATTGACAGGATAAACTCAACAAGCTGTCAGAGCTGGCCAAGGCAAATAGACGGCGACAAAGGCTCAACGGGCGACGGCTTTGCAAATATAAACCCATCCGCCAAAGGACGGGCCCAGAAAAAATAAGAAAATTTCATCAAACGGCAGTGGAAAACGTTTGCCGGAAAGCTTATTTAATCAACCGTTGCCCTGCAACGCCGCGCCATGATTGTGAGCACACATCCATGGGGGTGTGGCGGGGTTAATGGCAAAAAGGCAAATGCCATCTAATTATTATGACAAATATCAAACATCCGTTCGGTTGCGGCCGCGTCTAATTCTGTGTCAAAGGCTTAACTACTTAACGAAATGAATTGAATCGAATACCTGTCGGCAATATTATCAGCTGGCACTGAACTGTAACAAATGGAGAGGGTTGACCCGGCTTTAGGCGCCTTTAAAATAATAATTTTTATTTAACTAAATTTCACTCTCTTCGTCGGGCGTGGTGAAACGAACATGTTTCTCGTCCTTGCGCGGTGACTTTTCCATTTCCGTGCCGCCGAGAAAAGCCACAACGATGCAACAACATCCCAGTAACAACAGGTTAACCACATGAGTGATTAGCAGCTTATCCAGAGAGTGCCTTACGTTATTATAATAACCCTTATTTTGGACGTAGTAACAGAAGTACAGCCCCATGACGTTACTGATGAGCAGGACGCAGGTGAATGTCGATCTGATATTTTGCCGGACGAAGGGAACCAGAGCGTACAGGGTCGAGATAACGATCAGCGATGGAAGCACAATCTTCAGTATGGTTAGGCAGCCGGGAATTAACATGGCATAGTCCGGATAAAACAGTCGGGCGGTGTTCGCCTTGAAAGCAAATTCGGCTATCCAATGTCCGGCTAGGAAAAAGGACACATAGAAGTACAGGACTATAGCGAATCCATACCTATACGATTGTTTTAAATGTTGTAGAGGTTTGGGCTCCTTGTCGGCATCATCATATCGCTTGGCGTCCTCGTACTGCTGGAGGCCTAAAAGCAATTCCGTTACCAGCAATTGGATTGCCAAGGAACCCCACCGTTCGCAGAGCAGGGCGTGTAAGGTGATCATATTCATAGTAATCAGCTGGAGTCTTCTAATAGTGGTGTTGTGGGATGCATCGGAGTAGCGAAAGGACAAGAAGGCGTAGACCAAAAAGAACCAGCTAATGGCAGTAACGTAACCAGGCACGCGTTTGTTCGAGTCGAATAAATGGATTCCGTAGGCTCCAGTCACCAAGGTCACCGCGTTAATGGCCCAAGCCTGTAGATCAATCTGGTGTCGCAAGACGAGAGGACGTACCAGTGCCACCAGCATACCCGTGTACAGCAGATATGAACTTTTAAGGAATTTAGGATTGATCCCATAAGATATTGGATATTGTGAGATGAGCAGAGAACCACTGACAAAGCACACAAGGCTTATCCACAGAAAAAACTTGATCGACGGCTTCGAGAACAGACGATGATAGTGCAGGAACACCGGTAGTGCATATAGCTCAGCTAAATATCTGTGCTCAAAGACCATTAGAATTACCAGAGCTGCGGGCACCAATATTGAAAGGATGTTCATATAAGGTGCCTTGACCACATCGCCTTTTGCTGAGCGTTCTGCTTGAGCCATTATCAGCAAGCAGGTTGGTAACAACAGGCAAACGGATGTGAGGAGCGGCACCTTTTGCAGAACAAACAGAACTACTTGGATAATTCCAAGGCCAGACAGCACCACCGTCGACATGGTGGCGAGTCCCATTCGTTCATTTTCCGTGGCTATCCTTGTCAGCTGCAGAAGCAGGCAGTATAACCAGACTAGGTAGGAGATCGTGGTGGCCACCAGCAACGGTGATTGGTAATATTCGTGGTAGTATGTCAGGCACATTTGAGCCAATCTGGTAATCCTCCGACAATCGTTCATGGCCTCCTGGTTGTGTCCCTGGGATACCAAATATTTGAACTTAGCTTTGTAGTCAGCGATTTGCTTCAAATTCAGACTATCGAATGTCGGCAGCCATTCGTAGAAGAGAGCATGTTCATTTCGCGCTATAACGATCTCGGCCTGATGCAGGATCTGCAGGGCGTTCAGATGGAGTGCCATAACTTCGTACTCGGTGCTCACATTAAGGTACCCCCTTGGCATCATGGCTATGTTGTTCATTGGCGGTGGAAGGCCTATAAGAGCCGACATCAGTGGCGCCAGTTGAATCTGTTCCAACCTAGATGCATTCCTCCTGGTGGGGAAGACAGCATTCGGACCAACTGTCCGCTTCACGCCAGCGCCCCACATAAACAAAGGCGTTTCTATTTCATAAGTTGAAGAGGTGCCGTGATATCCTAAAAAAAATAGGCATTTAAACAGCAAGTAAAAAATTGAGGGTGCTTGACAAGAATAAACAATGCAGTGCAGCAAGATACCCATTCTCTCTCTGATTAAATTAATAGTTATTTTTTTGAATTTGTAGGGAAAAATGGGTACCTCTTTGACTGCGTCGAAAGCTTGTGACTAAAATTATAATATCCTGCAAGAGTGTAAGGACATACCACTATTCTTCATTCCATGATCGGAGGTCCACAAATAGGCCGTCCGACTGTCGTTGAATACTTGCTCGAAGAATTCGTAGGAGGTATGAATGCCCTTCTGAGTGTGCAGGAGCTGCCGATTGAACCTAGGGCTTAATGGCGTGTAGCGATGGGCCCATAAATCCATATCCGCCAAGTAAACAAAGAACACCGCTCCCTTGTGATTGTACACTTCTTTTACGTTGTCCCTCCTGGCCAGGAATTCTTCGATCTCTTTGAAGACCCAAGCATCGAATTGATAACTTTTTCTGCGTCCCACCGTAAACCGCAGCGGCGCTCCTCCGTGCGGTAGATACATAAACACATTTTCCATAATTGGATGGACCCAGCCGATGGCCAAGCGGCTTCGGTTGAAGACGGTATCAAATGGAACGGGAACATAGCGAAAGTTCACCAGGGCAGCCGTCGGATCTTGTCTGAAGCCGCCGAAGACGGCGATGTGTCCGGTGGCGGTCTGAGTCGGTGGCGAGGAGCGGGAGATGGCTATGCGGCCCTGTGTCCGGTATAGCTTACTCAGATCCGGCACCGCTCTTCCGTTCCTCGCCATGAAGGAAGCCGCTCGCAAGCCATCGGTCAGGAATACAACCAGGCGATCTGCCGGCGGTTCGAAACCCATCTCACGCATTGTCTTCTGGGGAACGAGTCCTGGTAAGATGGTAGACGAGAAGTAGGTGGTCAGAATGGAGACCAGCAGGAAAATGTGGACTACCAGGGCCCGTAGTCTCCACATGTTGTCCAATGGAAAATTACGTGTTCTTTTGTTTTTTGTTAGCTTTATGTTAGTGTAAGCATCTGATAATGACAGTAACAAATTGTAATATTGACTTTTAAGTCAATAGCTTCTAATATTCTGCACTGTGAAGAAAAATTGTATCATATATTCAGGTTATACAATTCACCAACTATTTATTATTTTGCGTTTGGCCATATTTTCAATACCTTCAATATTTTACTCAGAGAGTGAGTAGAATCGATGCCCCAAGACGTTTTGCACTCAAATAAAAGCCCAACATTGTTCGATTATCATTAAAATGAAATAAAATGCTTATAAATGCTTTAAAAATATACAACTTTATTTAACTAAACGCGGCTCTCTTCATTGGCCGAGGTAAAACGAACGCGTCTTTCTTTCTTGGACTTTGGCTTTCTCATTTCCGTATCATGGAGGAAACCCACAACGATGCAGCAGCATCCCAGTAACAACAGGTTAACCACATGCGTGATTAGCAGCTTATCCAGAGAGTTCCTTACATCGTCATATGCACCCCTCTTTTTGACGTAGTAGCAGAAGTACAGCCCCATGACGTTACTGATGAGCAGGACGCAGGTGAATGTCGATCTGATATTTTGCCGGACGAAGGGAACCAGAGCGTACAGGGTCGAGATAACGATCAGTGATGGGAGCACAATCTTCAGTATGATCAGACATCCGGGGACGAATAAGCTATAGTGTGCATAAAACAGTCTGGCCGTGTTAGGCCAGAATATAAAAGACCCTATCCAATTTCCGGCCAGCGCAAAGGTCACATAGAAGTACAGGACGATGGCAAAGCCATACCTGTAGGACTGCTTCAGATGTAGCAGTGGCTTTCGGTCCCCGACGCCCTCATAGTTGTCATCAGATCGCTTGGAGTCCTCATACATCTGCAGGCCAAAAATTAGCTCGGTGCTCAGAATTTGCATTGCCCAAGAACCCCAACGTTCGCAGAGCAGGGCGTGCAAGGTGATCATATTCATGGTAATCAGTGCGAGTCTTCTCATAGCGGTCTTAAAGGATGCATCGGAGTAGCGAATTGATAGGAAGGCGTAGACCAAAAAGAACCAGGTAGTGGCCTTTACGAAATCTGGAACCACCTCTTTCGAGACATATTTTTTGACTCCATAGGCTCCAGCCGCAAAGGTCATCGCGTTAATGGCCCAAACACGTAAACCAATCTTGTGTCGCAAGATGATGGGACGTACCAGGGCCACCAACATGCCCAACTGTAGCACATGGAAATTTAGCAATTCGGGGTCAACGCCATACTGGGTGTATTGGGAAAGGAACAGGGAGGCACTGATTATGCACACAAGAATCATCCATAGGAAAAACTTCAGCGAGGGCTTCCGGAACAGACGATGATAGTGCAGGAACAGCGACAATACATATAGCTCTGCAAAATGCTTGTACTCAAAGTACACTAGAATTATTAGTGCTGCGGGCACCAATGTTGAGAAGAGGTTCATGAGAGGTGCCTTAATCCAAGGGCCATTTGCAGAGCGTTCAGCTTGAGCCATTATTAGCAAACAGGTTGGTAACAACAGGCAGACGGATGTGAAGAACGGCACCTTTTGCAGAACCAACAGAACTAGTTCGATAATTCCGAGGGCTGACAGCATTACCGTCGACAAGGTGACGAATCCCTTTCTCTGATTCTCCGTGGCTATCCTTGTCAGCTGCAGAAGCAGGCAGTATAACCAGACCAGGTAGGAGATCGTGGTGGCCACTAGCAATGGAGTCTGGTAATACCCTTGATAATACTTCACGCACTTTTGGGCCAATTTTATAATCCGCTGGCATTCTTCCATGGCCTCTTGGCTGTGTCCCTGAGATACCAAAGATTTAAAGTTCGCCTTGTAGGCAGCAATTTGCTTTAAGTCCAGTCTTTTGAATCTTGGCAGCCATTCGCAGAAAAGAGAGCGATCATTTCGGCTAATAACGATCTCGGCCTGATCCAGGATCTGCAGGGCATTCAGGTGGAAAGCCATAGCTTCATACTCGGTGCTTACGTTGAGGTATCCCCTTGGCATCATTGCTATGTTATTCATTGGAGGTGGAAGGCCTATAAAAGCCGACATCAGTGGCGCCAGTTGAATCTGTTCCACCCTAGATGCTTTCTTCCAGGTGGGAAACGCTGCATTCGGACCGACTGTCCTCTTCACGCCAGCACCCCACATAAACAAAGGCGTTTCTCTTTCATGACGTGAAGAACCGCCGTGCATTCCTACAAAAATAAGAGGTTTACAATAAATAAGAACGTATTTCGACTTGCAGAGTCATCTAGGGTGATTCGAATCATTTGGAATTATATAATCATAGTACATACCAGTATTCCCCATTCCATGATCGGAGGTCAGCAGATAGGCCGTTCGGCTGTCGTTGAAGGTTTTCTCAAATAGTTCGTAGGTGGTGTGAATGCCTTTCTGAGTGCGCAGGAGCTGCTGATCGAACTCAGGAAGCAAGGGTGAGTAGCGATGGGCCCATGCATCTAAATCCGCCAAATAAACAAAGAACACTACTCCCTTGTGATTGCGTACTTCCCGAACATTGTCGCTTCTGGCCAGAAATTCCTTCACCTGACCAAACACCCAGGCATCGAATTTCATATCTTTCTTATCTCCCGTCTTGATCCGCAGCGGAGCACCACCGTGCGGTTGGTTTCGGAAGACATGGTCCACGAAATCATCGTCCCAGCCAATGGTCATGCGGCTGCGGTTGAAGACGGTATCGAAGTGAACGGGAACATAGCGGAAGTTGACAAGAACAGCCGTCGGATCTTGCATTAAGCCACCAAAGATGGCTATGTGCCCGACGGCAGTCTGAGTCGGTGTCAAGGAGCGGGAGATGGCTATGCGGCCCTGTGTCCGGTATAGATTGCGTAGATCCGGCACCACACTTCCGTTCTTCGCCAGGAAGGAAGCCGCCCGAAAGCCATCGGTCAAGAATACAACCAGGCGATCTGCGGGCGGCTCGAAACCCATCTCACGCATTGTCTTCTGGGGAACGAGTCCTGGTAAGATGGTCGAGGAGAAGTAGGTGGTCAGTATGGAGGCCAGCAGGAAAATGTGGACTACCAGGGCCCGTAGTCTCCACATTTTGTCCTTGTGGAAAACTTAACCGCAGGCAACAGAAAATTAAATGTGTTTTGTTGGGAGCTGTATACTATGTATGACATATGTATGAATGTATATAAAGAGATGACAATACTAAACTGACAAAAAAAGCAAAGGATACATTGGGGTTTTCTAACAAACTTTTATGCTTATTTTTATATTTCGAAGTACTGAGAAGCAAATTGCCAAAAATTGGATTTTAAATACTTCTTTAAATAGTTAATGATAGCCATTGTTGACAAACAACCCCTCTCAACTGAGTAACTTTAATTTATCATTGAAGTTAGTCTTTTTGATTATGTACATATGGAGTATCCTAACATCTTTAAGGTATTTAAAGAATTGTCGTCGTGGCATCATAATCATCATCAGTTCCCGGCCTTGTTTCGCCTCACTATCCGGCTTGTCTAGGACTGTTTTTATGGATGCCATAACTCTGCGGCCTTGTCAAGCAATTTCAATTTGCCGCTTGATTTGCGAGCTGGCGCCTGGGCCGCGCTGCCTTGGGCTACAAATGCTGCACGTTGCCGCTTTGATTTACGCGCCTGCAATTTAAATGAGCTGCAAATTGCAGCAACGAGTCACGGAGTCGGCCAATTTAAGTCTGTAAGGCCTTTGTCAATCTCGTGAGTCGGGCGAATTAATTGCGCGGCATAAATCCTGTCTGCGATTTTTGTTCCTGATTAATTCGAGCAGACATTTCAGGTGCTCCAAACGTTTTATTCAGAGTGAAGCTCATAATCTGACAAATTCCGAGCTAGCTGGAAAGCGCTAGTTGGACCAAATGGGTTGAAGGCAAGCCGCGGCGAGCAGCTGCCATTTGTCAGAAGGCTGCAGTCCCAGTTGTCCACAGACAATTGTAAGCCGGATGACTGAATGGCCGGCTAAACGGGCTTGTCGGGCAATTAAAGGACCTGTTTTGCGTCTGGCGATGGGCTAATTCCACGGCGAACAAGAGTTAGGCGTTTTAACGGCCAGCAGTCGCTTGTTTCCAGCGATTGGGAAGCACCATTGAGTAATTGGGCAGAGCGGCAACCGACTCTCTTCGGGCCATAGCGCAGGGCGCAGGCGCGCTCTTAGCCAACTACTTGCCGCTCTGTTAGCCGACTCGGCTCTGGGTCAGCAACATGTTGGTCTTGGCCTGGCTCTGTGACCCAAAGTGGGTTATTGTGGCCGGCGGATAGTGTAGGTAAGTGGGTCGTCGGGATCCGCTCGGCCCGAAGGCCGGGTGGCCGCAAATTAAACGAATTGTGGCCCAGCATTTGGCAACATTTGTTGCCACACTGACCAGCAGCTGGAGCATCGGCCACCAGCCACCATCCACTGGCAGCACCGCCATCAGTAGGAAACGAATAAAATGCCAAATGTTTGCGGCCTGGGGCTGTTGAACTCGGACGTCTCTCAATTGAGGGATTTCGGCTTAGGCCTGGCCAAGTCGATTGCTCTCCACATGGCAGCAATGCCTCGAGTGGCCGGCCAATGAATAAGGTATTAATACAGGTAAATATTTACTTGTCAGATGCACAGGGAAAAATATACAATATAAAGATTTATTTTTAAAAATAAGAGAAGACCTAGAAAGATCAATCAATTAATCTGTGAGAATAGTTGGAGAAAATAAATTAAATTATAAATATAAATAAATATGTTTAAATATTATAACACCCTGTTGTCTTCAGATTTGTTCGAATATATTTTGCTTATATTAATATTAACCAACATTTTTTCTTCCGGTGTTCGTAACTCAAACACACAGGCCACTTGAACATGTCAGCAAAAAATTGATAATTGCTTGGCCCAGTACTTCAAAAGCAATATCAAGCAAATCAATTACGCCAGCTCGCTCTCGGCATTCCCATGGACGTCGACGTCCCTCTCTGTGTGCGGGACTTACCCCATTTAAATTCAGCTGCGTTTTGTGTTGACAAAACTTATCAACAATTCAATTTCAATAAAAACTCGCGAGCTTGGCCCGCCTCCTCTCATATTGTTCGATGCATTTTTTAACGCGAAATATTAGGGTCTGTGGCAGCAGGTGCTCGCGGACATGAGGGGATCGTGAAATGTGCGCTGCTCGCTGACAACTCCCCCTGAGTTACTGCGCCCCTGGGTTTGGGGTTTCTGCTGAATTTTGGCATTTGAATTGTCACATCTGGTTCATGGCTTCAAACTCATCCATCAAATGCAGCCGGGCTGCTGCTGCTCCTGCTGCTCCTACTACTCCATGGCTTCGCCTGTCAGCTCTTGCCAATGCAATCATTTTTATTGTATGTGTGCTGTATCTGTGTGCCTTTCGGTGTAGCTGTGTCGGTGTGCCTGTGAAATAGCGCGCATAACCACAGCGACAAAACCAATACACGGCCAGAGGCAAGCCTCCATTTTTTCTTACTATACTCTCTTGCATTCGCCTAACGACCGCCTGACAATGCGATTTTGTATGCGTGCTATGGCTGTAAGAGAGTGTGTGTGTGTGTGTGTGTTGTGTGTGTGGCCATTGAAAGGCAAACACACAATACGAATATAATTTACGAGTCCGACTTAAATTCAGCCTTTTAATAGCTGCCCTTTGTCATGCAACCGCATTGCACTCGACGGCTACCCCTTTCTTGTATTTCCAACGATTAGCTATTTATAAAGACTTTCCTGGGGAAATACAAATACAAGCTTTGAGGAATGCTCAAAAGTTTAGAGCTTACAGTTATAAAATGAATACAAAATTTGTTTAATCCCTAGTGCTAGTTAAATAAGGATGATTATAGGATCAATATTAACTTGTCAAGCGAGCAGTTTAATCTTATTATACCCTTGCAGGGTATTATAATTTCAGTCCGATGTTTGCAACGCAGTGAAGGAGACGTTTCCGACCCTATAAACCATATATATTCTTGATCAGCATCAACAGGGGAATCTTTCTAGAAATGTCCGGAAGAAATCGATTTTTTGGCCATTTTTCCAAAATTTTATAAGGGGTTACATCATTAAAATTTTTGAAAAAATTGAATTTTCAAAATTTTTAAATGAAATATGCAGATTTATTAACTGTAGAAAATCTTGCACAGAACAATTTTCCGATTTAAAATTAATGCTCTTTTGGCCGAGTTATGATATTTTTAATTTAAAAAAAATCAAGAAGTTTTTTAATATAAAAAATCCGATTTTATAATACAAAATAATATTTTTCTTAGTCAAGGAATCATATCCGACCCCATAAACCATATATATTCTTGATCAGCATTAACATGCGAATCTTTCTAGAAATGTCCGGAAGAAATCGATTTTTTGCCATTTTTGCGAAATTTCATAAGGGGTTACATCATTAAAATTAGCAAAAATGGCCAAAAATTTTGATTTCTTAAAATTTTAAATTTGGTATGCAGTTTTTTAAATTAATAAAAACTAACACAACACTGCTTTCCGAATCGAAATTAATTCATTTTTGGCTTAGTTATGATATACCTGCAAGGGTATACAAACTTTGGCTGGCCAAAGTTAGCTTTCTTTCTTGTTTTATATTGCAATAAAATCCTTTTTCCAACCTTCAATTATTTCCTTCTAAAATTACAAAAAACTGTGCAGATAAAATACAATAATAACTATTTAAAGTCAAATAAATGTAGCTGACTGAAAATATATTGTTTTAGTTTGAAAAAATAATTTGTAAAAGTTACTTTTGCCTTATTTCAGCTGCAGTCAAAGTGTTTATACCAACAAGTTTCCGCCATGGAGTCACAAGAGCAGGTTAAATAAAGAAAATAAGTGAATAGTTTTGCAAACCTTTCGCTTTATATTGGCAATTTTCCAATTTGCAAATACGTTTTGAAGCACTTTGGCTGTGTTTTTGAGATCATGTGCAACGATTTAGCCATTATTCGAACAAAGACGAGACAGGAGGAAGCCATTACATAACTATCGTTATCGTCTCGTTAAGGCCAGGAGGAGAAGCTTACTTGACACTCGGCCCTCAAGTAGGTCAACAATTCGATGATTTTTGGGGAAACAAAGCCAGGCCAGGCCAGGACGGGCGACAGGCTTTAAAGTTTAAATCCGGAAAAGGCAGCCGGCAGCCGCAGTGCGAAACTGCATTGGGCGTGGCGTTTGGGAGGTGGCTTTGGTTTTTCAATAAAGCAGATTTATGCATTGTGTTATGCAGAATTAAATGCGCTTTTGTTGCAGAAACACAAACACATAGTGATTGGGGGGAGAGGGGAGGGGAGAGGTCCATACAAATTGTTAAACAAAAATTTAGCAGCACACAGAAGTATGCAACACTCAATTGGATTTAATTGCTGTGTGTGCGCAGTGCAACAACGCAGCCGGAATAACACGAAATTATGTTGGAAATTCGTTGCCTTTTCGGGAATTCATTCACCCGCTGGGTAGTATAAGCGAGTTAAAAATTAAACCAAATATTTTTACAGGCGCATGGATTGTGGCCCGATTTATGAACTCTATGAATTTCAATTTATAATGCATACATATGCATTATATTAATTACGACAAGGCGCACGTCTCCCCTCTCTGTGTGCGAGTTAATTATTTAGTTTGTTGTGCTGCACGAGCGCCGCCTTCGTTGCAAATTTAATTGGTTATTTCGCATAAACAAGTTGCGAAAGTTTTCCCGAAAAATGTCTCTCCTTTGCCAGACTCGTCGCCCTCCCCTTCTCTCTCTCTCGCCACTTTGCTCAGGAGCTTGTCAAGCCTTTGAGCTTCAAAATTAAATAGCAAAGCAAAGTGCACTGCTAGCTTTTTATATTCCTTTTCCCTTTTTCGATATTTTTAGTTTTTTTTTTTTTGCTCTGTTTTTTGGCAGCAAACAAGCCGTAGCTGGCAGAGCCATAAGGCACAGCTTCCTCTTTGGGCTGTCAGTGGCATGTGCGGAGACACGCCCCCTCCGGCGACGCAGCCAGCGCCCCTGACCCATCCCCGGCCGAATGGCATGTGCAAAAGTAAAAACGAAGTTGGGCAAAACTTTTTAATATGCTTGCGAAATTTTATCAAAACTACAAAATTGCAGCAAAGTGCCAAGTGCCTGGGTTCTTGGTTCTGGGGACTGCAGAGCAGCGCCGTCAACGAAAAC